CCATGATTTTTTAGCTTTAAATTGTAACAATAAGCCGGCAGTTGGGCAAACGATGCTTCTGGCGACCCCCTCAACAATTCCAAGGCATAACATTTGGCTCTCCAAGCTTGAGAATATGAGATACTAATCTTGAACCGAGCATTCATGTCAGTCATAATTTCATGTCCCCGATATACCCTGCCATTCAAAAACATTAACTCAGCCAGAAAACCACCCAACACCTTTTTGTTTGCCTGTCTATGGTGAGGAAAAACTTGGGTTCTTGAACATGTATGTTTATCAATAAAAGTCCTAACTTGAAACATTTCGCAATCTTTTATCCTCTTTGCAATCATACGCCACGTACAGTTTTTGTCATTCATACACCTTGTTTCGAAACGATCTTTGCTTGATTTGTTAACTTTTAGTTGATAGCCATCTTCCACACATTTCGTATACAAAGCTATCTTCAAGTCTTCCTTTGTATCAAAACAATCATCTTTCTTGATACGAATAATTTTTGTGTAATAATCAACTGTTATTTTTACCAACTCTTCTTCCGGTATCTGAAGTAATTCTGGCATATTCCAGTTATACTCCCGTGGCATTTTCTTCGGGGACTTTTCTTCAGGGATTTCTTCTTCTTCTTCTTCTTCTTCAGGGTTATATGAATTACAGAATGGATGTTCAACATGTTCATTCACAGTCGTAACTTCCTCCTCATTATCATCAACAACATCTTCCTCGGCAGCGACTGTTTCATCATCAAAATTCGGGTATTGATCAATATCAAAATCATTACACACAGGGTATGTTTCTTCTTCTGAAACATCATCAAAATTCGAGTATTGACCAAGATCAAAGTCCGGGTATTGACCAAGATCAAATTTCAAATATCGACTAGTACTCACAATTTTTTCTGTTTGCTCATCATCGTCTAACTGGTTAATACGAAAACCGGAATTTGGTGCTGAAAGTTGATTGGGATTTGGATTAGGGAAAGGTTGTGGGTTTTGAGATTGTGTTTGGTATTGGAAATGTGGTGAAACAAAATTTGCTTGGTGATGAAATTGTGGTGAAACCATTAAATTTTGAGCACCATAAACTGGGGTTGAAAAACTTAGTTGATTACTACCCGCTACTGACCCAACTTCACTACTTCTAGGTTCAACAACATACAATGTAACGTCATCTTGCGAAACACTAATGTAAGCACTGAATCGTTCAACGTCTTCATTGTCGATTAAAAAATAAACTTTACCTTTTCTCTGATAAGATAGCCAAAATCCACTTAAGGGCTCTAAATTCAATTTATTTGCAACACGTAAAATTAGAGTTTCATAAGTTAACTTTTTTAATGACAATTTTAGTTGAAGATTCATGGGTAAAGGCATATATTGTAAAACACCATGAACATTCTCCCATGACCCTCCAAAACACAAATCTACCCAAACATGATCAACATTAGATGATTTCATTATTGTAAATTAATTTACTAAACAAACGAGCTGCGAAACTAAAACCTGTTGCCGGATGGGGAAGGATGTAGTTGGATATAAGAACGGATGTCGCCGGAGAGAGTGATAGATGGAGATGAAATGAGTTACGATTTAGGGATTTAGGTTATGAGTTGCTTCTGCTGCGTAGTTATATACCCAAAACATTTGTGTTGCGAAACTAAAACCTGTTGCGAATTTGAAATTCAGTGTTGCGACAGTCAGAACCGCGTTGCGATAGTCAGAGTGGCATTGCGATAGTCATAATCGCATTGCGATAGTCAGAGTGGCATTGCGATAGTCATAATCGCATTGCGATTTACATATTCGCATTGCGATTTACATATTCGCATTGCGATAGTCAGAAAATCGCAATGCGAATTTGGAAAATCGCAATGCGATAGTCAGAATCGCGTTGCGAATCTGGAAACTGATTTGCGATACCGGAGATCGCGTTGTGAATTATCGATCGCATTGCGATTTAGTTGGTCATTTTGGCAAATCCAAAAAAATTGGTTAAAATCGTATATTATAAGGGATTTTTGGTCACTGAGGTTATTTTCTCTAATAAAAACTAACGAGGTTCATTCGTTTAATTTTAGTTGAATAAACAAATGAATACGAATAACTAAATAAAATAAGATTTATTGTTTGTGTTCGACCATTAAAGAATGTAACTTGTTTGTATTCGACCATTAAAGAATGTAACTTGTTTGTATTCGTTTATATTCGTGAATTAAAATGATAAGCGAATACAAATTAACGAACGTAAATGAACACAAATGAACAAACATAAAATTAACTGGCTTTATATTTTAGAATATTTTTTCTTTCCAAATAATTTTAGTTTTTATATTTTCTTTAATTGATTTGAGTATTTTTTTATTGTTTAAAATTTATTAGGTCTTAATATTTTAAAAAAGTTTGGAGATTAATATGTAAATGAATAAGCATAAACGAACGGATTACGAAGGTTTACAAACGTAAATGAATGAATGAGTCTTTTTGTTTGTATTCGTTCATTTAATTAAACAAATATAAAATTTTATTCACGTTCGTTCGTTTAATAACTAAACGAACATAAATGAACTTCCCGTTAAACATTTCACGAACGACTCGTTGAAGGTTCAGTTCACCTACTTAGCAGGTGTCTATCCTCACCAAATATGTGATCCAAACGTTCGAGATTAGTTAGGGTTATGTTTGTGTGTGTTTTCCCCTTGTATCCCACAAAATAATAATGATGGTTATTTCCGTTTGAATTCGAAACCCAACAAGATGAATGTGCGCAAAAGATAACTGTCGTTTTGCTGGTTGGAGGCAGCCGCGGTAATAATGGAGAACGTAGAGTTAGGCCAAGCGGGGATCTGCGAGTTTCTGCTTGGGCGGTGGCGTGGAGCCCACGTGGGGACATGCTGGCGTCGAAGCACATACCACGTGAGATGATGATGTCCTCTCTTCGCTATTTTGATTTTGATCGGGTGATTCCCGTGAGGGGGTTATTTGGGCACCACCCACATTAATGCATGAGTTTGATGAATTCTCTGCCCCGCCAATGGAACCACTGTTCTTTTGATCGGCCCGAGTTGATTGTGTTTACTGTTTACCATCATTTTATAACCGTCGTAAAAAAAGTAATTTTATAATACAATTTACCGGTAGTGATTAGAGAGTATGGAATTCATGGCCTGTCAATTCTATCTACAATTACAAAAGAGATTTCGGCGGTTTGGATTGATTTACCTAATCAGTTCAAGGGTTTAAGAATGTGACAGTCATTGTGAGGAAATTCAATCAGACTCTTTTCGAAAGCTGCAATCAATAAGATACCTTCACTGGTATGTTAATCCTTCCTCCCTGTTTTACTTCAACTGGAGTTATATTTCACAATATATAGAAAGCAAAGTGTTATTGATTAGTAACATTTTTTAGATTCACAGCCGAGTAAAGTGGGCAAATACGGCGAAAATTAATGCACGTCGATGTAAATATTATTGGAAAATATAATTTTAATATACGATGTAATTTATATCATCTTAATATATAGTTTACATATTTATTTTTTAAATTAAGTCCTTTAAATTATATAAATATTGGTCTATTTCGATCATTTTTTTTCAATAGATAACATTTTCTAGAATCATGCATGCACCTCTCGAATGGTTTCAAGAAAAAGTGATTTTGGTACGATTTTTTTCTTCATATTTTTGTGATCGTTTTGGTTTTCGTATAAAAATCTTTTTGAGATTTGTTCTTTTATTCATTTATCGGTTGTCACATATAATCATATCCTTTCTTTAAAAATCATTTGAGGATATTATTGTAATTGTGTAACGAATCAGTCTGTCAGATTGTTTGGTTCGCTCACCACTCCTTTATCACTGCTTAAAGCGTCTCATTCGAAAGAAATAAGGATTTTTTTTAAAGGTTATTGATTTTTTTATGATGGTCGTCATTCTCAATTAAATGTTTTATTTTTCTTTAGATCTTTAGGTTTAATATTTTACTTTTGTATGAGTATTTCGATGACTATTATCTCTAAATTTCTTTTTATATTTTGATGCGTTTAATTTTATATCTATCATGTGCGAAACTAGATAAATTGTTTAAAGTTTGGATAACCGTATGACCATATAGAGATGGATGCAAAATTTTATATTATAGATACAAACTTGATTTCATAAATTTTTGGGGAATGAAAATAATTTTTTAATAAAAAATATATAAAATTTATGATAATTTTAGATCTTTTAAAATACGACCACCCCAATCCTCCCCGCTTAAATCCATTCCCTTGACCATATATCTTTGAAGTTTTATCCTTTTAAGATTCAACAGATCAGAGAGAACCAAACAAGGGGGAATATAGAAAAAAAAAGTACCTAAGGTCCTTATACTTTTAAAAAAATTAATATAATTTTTATATTATTTTTTCTCTCGATATAATCTTTCAACTCAATAAAGAATTTAATATGACTTTTAAACTTAAAAAACAAATATATTAAAATTTTTTGATTAACGTTTTTCATCATTGATTGTTATGATGATGATGTAGCAATTCACAATATTACTGACATGACAATTTATTTATCATATTTGTCATATTTAAATTAACAATTTAACACATTTACTATATTATCTATTACGTTATCAATTATCGTGAATTGTCACGTAAAAATTATAGACTACTACGTCAATACTTTAAAGATCTACGATCAAAAAATGTTGGTCAATTTATTTTATGAAACATTAACTATTTTTTAAATTACATCGATATGTGGTACATTTTGCCAAAAACATAAATCAACCCGCCCCCTGCCCTACCCTTTGCGGCTTTCCCTCGCTTCCATTTTGAGTTTTTCAACGTCCCCACCCATCAGGCAAAGGACCATTATCCCCATCCTTTTTTTGTCTTTGCCCCTCTAGATTCTCACTCTTTCTGTCTTTTTGCTTTGGTCCAACACAATTCCTACCTTTGTTCCCTCTACTCTCTAGCTACCACTGCCAGTCTGCCACTTTCAATTCCCCAGTCTTGTCTGTTTGTTCCCAGGAAATAAATAAAGGGTCTAAACTGAATTCCGGTTCTTCTCCTGCTGCTGCTGATGAGTTGATGTTCACCAAGTTCCTGTGAGTATGGGGTTAGTCGACGATAACAAGAACAAGGAGAAGGATGCCCCTCAAGAAAGCGACGGTGAAGGAGGAGGAGCCGGGGTATCTAGCAAGACCACGAGCGATGATTCCTCTTTCTACACCACTGATCAGGACGATGTTAACGATGGTGAGAGCACACTCCATTTGGGTCCTCAACGCACTCTCAAAGAACAGCTTGAAAAAGACAAGGTTTACATTTATTTTATCAGGCTTAATTTGTTTCTATTGGATGTTTAGAATATGTCATTTATTGTTTCTGTTGTTTGTCATTTGTCGGTCATCGTTGGTTGAGTTGTAGGATGATGAGAGCTTAAGGAAATGGAAAGAACAACTTCTTGGAAGTGTGGATATTAGCAGTATTGGAGGTACCGTTTTCGTTTTTCTTTTCGCTTTTGATTATATAATTCAATTTTATGTAATGCGTGTCGATAGAATTTGAATACAAAAGCTAATACCTGCAGAATTTGGTTTGAACAAAAATGGATAGAATTGGATATGGTTTTCACCCTTGTTATCTGCAGAAACACTTGATCCTGAAGTGAAGTTCCTTAGCGTGGCGATCGAGTCGCCGGAGAGGCCATACATGCCTCTTTCAATCCCTGAAGATGGAAAGCCCGAGGGCTTATGGTTTACACTGAAAGAAGGCAGCCATTATCGATTGAAATTCTCCTTCCAAGTCGGCAACAACATTGTATCTGGTCTCAGGTACACCAATACCGTATGGAAATCGGGTCTCAGGGGTAAGTTAAGCCCGCTAATTCTTGCAAAACAAATTGAAGTTCAAAAAAAGCCTAAAATGAATCTGTTCTTCAGTTTTCAGTACAAAAGATATGATTGGAACATATAGTCCTCAGCAAGAGCCTTACACACATGAAATGCCAGAAGAGACTGCCCCATCTGGTTTTATGGCTAGAGGATCATACACTGCAAAATCAAAGGTTTGCTCATCTAAGTTATACACATACATATGAAGTGTTTTTTTGTTGCATAGTTTTATGAAATTGTTCTTGCCAGTTCGTTGACGACGATAACAAATGCCACTTGGAGATCAACTATACATTCGACATCCGTAAAGACTGGGCTTCAAAGGATTAAAGACACAACCAGATGATGAGGTCAATCGATCAATGTTCTCATGCTGTTATATTTTTCAGCTATCAATCTTAAACATGTCTCAATTGCAAACAGTTTGTGTTTTTAACTGCTAGTTCTACTGGTTATCTTAACCGTCTCCTTTATTGTTGTTTGACAAGTCCAGACATTCTTCTTCTTCTTCTTCTTCGATATCATCAAAGCGTTCTAAATTTAGAGATTGCTTGTTCTAAACTATCCCTGTAAAGATGCAATGCATCTTTTTCGTACATGTTTTCACTTCAGAAAGATGAGTAATAGCATAAACAAATGGACCGAGAAGGCCCAATCCAAGTAATGTAATAAACTAAAGGCCTAATAACTCTAGCCCAAATAGGTAATGCCTAAAGCAGCAGAAGCAGGGAGGAGGAAAACAAGAACAACCTGGCCGGGTGCACATAAAAATAAATGATTTATAATTAGTAAAATTTAATTATAAAATATATTAGGGTAAAGTACACAAATGGTCGTCTGACTATAGGATAATTCTTTATTGAGTCCATTGAATATTAAAGTTACAAAATAGTCCCTCAACTATAGAGAGTTACTTTATTGAGTCCTTCAATTATTAAAAGTTATAAAATGGTCACTTGACCATTCATTATATTCCAAACTTATCCTTTTTCGTTATAAAATTAACGATCGTCTGAGCTTGACATTAACATATTAACTGGTATATGATAGTCATTTGAGATTATGAGATCAAATCTTATCACATCTCAGTCAATAGGTTAACATATACACCAGACGGTCGTCAAAATTTTAATGGCAAATGATGAGTTTAGAACATAATGAATAGTCGAGTGACTATTTTATAACTTTAAATAGTCGGGGACTCAACAAAACAATTCTTTATAGTTGTGGGATCATTTTGTAACTTTAATAGTAGGATTGAGTTAAGATTTTTATCTGTTTTTATTTATTTATTTATAAGAAATATGGTCTTATGAGCTGATGGAATCAGTCTTGAATTTCACTTTCAAAAATAGGCATAAGATTAAGCAAGGTTCTTAATCTTGGGGTCATGGGATCGAGTCTCTCGGAAGGCATTTAATAATTCGGAAGTCTCTTACAGAAGTTACTCTCAACCTGACGTTGGGGACAGCCTACTATCCTGCCTCTCCTTTATCCTATTACATATGGGAATAAATGTCAACTAAAATTAAGCAAGGGCCGAAGAGTCGAAGGGCCGAAATATTAAAGCAAAAGATGAGGTTGAAAGGGAAATGGCAACAAAATTCGATGCTTACCTCTCAACTTCTCTTCTCCGCCGACATTGCTTTACACCAACTAAATATTCATAGAAGCTTCCATAAATCCATGCATCATTGCACTTTGCCCCATTACTATTATTTTATTCTCTTCAAATTTTATAATTTACACAAATAGCATGAATTCAAATTTAAGAAATTTATATGTTATAATTAATAAATGTTATACGTAACAAGGACAGACACAATATTTTATGTAAGGGGGTAAACTTGAACTTGTAAATTTCATGGGCGAACATGAACTTATAAAATTTTAGAAGGCGAAAACATATTTTCAATAAAAAATATATAGAAAAAATATAAAATATATGATAATTTTATATTTTTAGGAGACGACCGCCCCAAGCCGCTCTCATCTAGGTTAATCTCTGCTCGATAAATGTAGTTAAGCACAAAATTTTTATATATTATTTAATTTATTAATACCATTTTTTGCTTATAAATCAAAGAAAAAATATTTTTTATTAGTATGAGATAATTATAAGATAATATATATTATAAAGATTTTTAATCATTTGATAATAAATGTTACAAACATAACAATCGTTCCTTAATCATTGAATTTGTTTAATTCATGCATAAAATAATATACTTAAATACATTTAAATTCATAATTTTTATATATAATAGTAATAATAATATCAACCGAATTAAAATTCAATCGACTAGTTAGTCATAAGATTTAAATTGACTTAAAGAAGCATAATCCTTGATTAAACCTTGGCATCTACACATTTTATAACTAATTGACGCAAATCTTGTTGTTGATTGAGATTTATGATAATATAAAAGCAAGTGGGTGTCAATAATCAAATAGATTTGTTTGATAATTAATCCATTATCCATGATGTTGATTTAAGTAAACCCAAGGACTGAATTATCAAAAAAATAATGTTCATGTGTCAAAATTCACCAACTCTTAAAAAAAACATTATTTGTTGGACTGAATTTGATATTGCCATTGTACCTAATTTTCAATAAAAAAATATATTAATAAATGTTGATATTAAAATTGTAAATTATTATCGCTTGGTACCCAAAATTATTTTTTAGTTTTTTATAACTATCAATATCTGATTTAATGATTGACTAATTTGGATCGGGTATTGCATAGGCATGGGCAGTCCTCCCAACTAAGTTTACTCCATTCGTAATCGTCAGGATTCATAACCCTAATATTACTTAAATGAATTAGTGTCTCGTCTCACTAAATCAACTTATTATTAATAAAAATTATCTTTTAGTTAAGTTTAGTCTTGAACTTTTCAATGATGATGTACGTTATTTCAGTCCATTTTACTATTGTAAAAAATTAATCTGTTATTCTAAGAATATGTCATACAATACATAATATATTAAATTAGGAAAATTTCAAGAACAAATATACAGATTTTAAAATTCATAACAAAAATAAATTAAAAATTTCAATTCGTAAAATATAAATATTTTCATGAACGTTTAAAAAATATTTTTTTATTAATTCTTTTTTTAAATTTCTTTAGATTTACAATATATTATATGTCACGTGACACATTGTTAAGATGTAGATTAATTTTTTCAATATAAATATAAGTGAGGATAATATACATGATATGACTATCCAGCTCAGTTGGTAGAGCACAAGGTTCTTAACTTTGAGGTCGTGGGATCGAGTCTCACGGAGGGCATTTCATAATTCGGAGGTCTTCTACGAAAGCTGCTCTCAACTTGGTATTGGGAATAAGGGACAACCATTGATTGATAATATACATCATGATTAAAAAAATTAAAATTAAATTAAATAAGAAAATCGAGTATCAAAATAATAATGCAAAGAGTAAAATGATTCAGTCTTCTAATTTAATTAATATTAAATATTAGAACAAACAATTAGGTCTAGTGAGATTAAACACTAGGCCCCTTAAGCAAGGTCAGGGGTTCGAATCCTAGCGTTTACGAATGGATCAAACTGGGTTGAGACTGGGAGGGTCGTCCTCACCTCTGTAGTCCCCGATTTGAATTAATCGGTCAATAGATCAAATATCAGTGATTAATTCAAAAAATATTAAATATTAGAAAGATCGTACGGAAAATCCTTTTTATGAGAGATATAAAATGATGAAAGAAAATATATGGTGGGGAGCATAGTGGTTGGTGTCTCAAAAGATTAGGAAAAAATTAATTAGTTTAAAAGTGATTAAGAAAGCCTACCTTACCTGTCCTCTTCCCTTGAAGTAGTTCCAAATTAGAAACAAGAAACAAAACAAAGAAAATGGATTGGTTTCCATTAAGGGAATACCATCCCTTTCTCATTCAGTTCGACATAGGATAGCATGACTTGATTTGGGTCGGATTTTTTTGTTTGTTAATCTAACGTGATTTTTTTCGTCTGATTTCAATTTAATATGAAAATTATATATATATTTTACCTGACTCGAATTAGATTTATCGTTTCGAGATAAAATTTAAATCAAACCCGAATAGAAATAATATATTTATAAAATATATTATTTTTATTTAATAACAAATAGGACTTTAATTAGAAAATAATATATATATGGAGTTTATTGTAATTATCTCTAAATATATTATTTTTATTACAAAGGATGAGTTTGTCACATTTCACAAGTATTATTAGTCATGAGTACCATTAATTTAATTTTTAAAAATTTAAAATTTTAAAGTACCCAACTTATAATTAGTTAAAAATTTAAAAGTAAATTATTTAAAGTAAAGGGTAAATTATATCAGTGACCACCTAACTATTGTCTCTTTTCATTTTGACCACAATTTTTGAAATTCTGTTAATCTGGTCATTCAACTATTTAAATGCATTCAATTAAGCCACTTGCGTTAATAATTAACGAAGATGATGATGTGACAGTTAAAATATTTGGTATAACTATACATTTGGTCGTTGTGACTTATATATTCTTTCAGTTTAGTCTAATTTTAATAAATTAAAATAAACTTAACCTTCAAATCAAATGGTGCCATGTGTCACTAGTGCCAAGTGTAATGATATGTGTCACCATCCAATGGGGCAATAGTTAGGTGATCACTGATAGAATTTACCATTTATTTTAAATATTTTACCTTTAAATTTTTAACTAATTTATAATTATACGTTTATCCCTTTAGAATTTTAAACTTTTATAAATTAAATTAATAGTGCTCATCGTTAATGATACTCGTCAGTTGGTAGAATTTTCCTATCATAAATATATTTAAAATAAAAGCAAAAATATATTAGAACTTAGTTGACTTAATGAATATAGTTACAAAAATTCATAACCGATAACTTACCACTTAAATCTATTTTAACTGCTAATTAAATGGGTTTAACCATAGTAACCTGCTTGATCCAACTGAGTCTGACTGAAAACTGCCAATTAAACGAATTTGAACATACTTTTATGCATTATTAACTGTATTAGGAGTAAAGAAATAAAAATAACAAAAGTTGTTGCAAAAAACGTATGGCAATTATAAATTTATTTTCTTTATTTTTATTAGATGATCAAAACATTAATTTAATTATAAAATTAAATCTTTGTATAACATTTAATATTATTTTTACAAATAAAACATAAGTTTTAACCACAAAATTCATACAAAAGCGATATTGAATGGACCGACACCCTTTTTAAAAAGGGTAAACTATCAAAATAGTATTTTATTTTACAAGTGTTTAGTTTTGGTCATTGATTTAACCATCCCCTTCACAAGCTATAAATAGGGATAAGTTAATATTTTTTATAGTATGACAATGAGTACTGATGAACATCATTAAAGATGAGTAATAATTTGTAAAAATTTAAAATTTTAAAAGACTCAAAATATAATTATAAATTAGTTAAAATTTGAAAGGTAAATTATTTAAAATAAATATTAATTATATTATTTTCCATATTTTTTATTGGTAAACTATAACATTTACCACCTAATTATTTAACCCTTTTACTTTTACCACTAATCTTACAATTTTATCAATCATACCACCTAACTATTTAATTATATTCAATCAAGCCACTTGCCATTAATATTTAACGAAAGTGTTGACATGGTAGATAATCAAATTAGTATAATTATACATTTAGTCTTCAATATTTATATAATTTGTTAATTCAGTCCTAATTTTAAATTAATTTAATAAATTTAATCTTCCAATCAGATGGTGACACTTGTCACCAATTAATTAGATTATAGTTTAATTTTAATTTGATATATTTGAACTCCAATTATAAGCTAACATGTGTCCCCTTTGATTGATTTTAAAATGATTCTTAATATTATACATATGCAACTAATTGGGATCAAACTCGCGTCTAATGGAAATAAAATGCATGTCCTTGCCATCAAACCAAACCCTACAATTGGCAATATTTTTCAAAATATTTTACATATTATGGTAACGGCAGAAAAAAGGTAAATTAATATATATATTTAATAATAAACTATAATATATATATATGTTCTATATTATAATTAATGATAAATAATATAGATAAATTTAATATTTTTGTATTTTAATTTATTTAATTTGATATATATATATATATATATTATATTATAATTAAATATAAGATTTTGGACAAATTTATTGTTGATCCGAAAATTTTTACTGTCGCATCTTGGTGTTGAATTCTCGTGATAGATGAAAAGTGACGTCATGTTTATTAATATGGCATTTGAGGTTCTTTGAGAAAGATATAAATACGGAATGTTATAAATACACCATTTATAACCAATATATGTATATATTAAAAATTAAAAATATAAAAAATATATATTCAATTATAAAAATAAATTATCCATAATTCTATAATTAATTATAATATAAAATATATATTAAATTAAATAAATTAATATTTGAGAATATAAAAAATCTTAATTTCATTTATAGTTTCTATCATTAATTATAATATTGAATATATATTTTAAATATTATAATTATTATTGAATATATATATTCTTCCATGAACGTTACTAGAATATATAAAATATTTTGAAAAAAAATTGTCAATCGTCTGGTCTGGCTTGATGGCAAGGATGTGAATATCATTTATAAATATTAAAGTGACCATTTTGAGAGTTCACCCATTTTGTATTGTTTTAAACTATTTGGTGTGTGTTTCTGTTTCTTTAGTTCTTTATATATTATAGCCTCTCTCAGCTTGTTCCAATCTGCAGCATTGGCATCCAAATTCCAAAGCTCTGAGCTTTCTCTCTGAAGTCCCCTTTAGTCAGGTTATTTTCCTTCACTTGTCTGCTCTTCTTCAAATATGCTCATGTTAAAGCTGCATTTTTTTCAAGCTGGTTCCACATTTAAGTTAAATCTATATCTTTCCTGGGAACTTCCCTCGGGTCAAATGCAATGTGAATATCAGATTTGATCTGGGTTTTTGTTATGAAATTTGATTAATTGGGGAAGTTGGTTAGCTGTACTTCATCTGAAGAGCTCTAGAACTGAAAATTGATTCATATTTTTGTTTTTAATCTTCGCATCTCAATGCCAACTGTAATAGATCCTGTTCTAAGCTCTTTTATTTTCCTCATTATTTGCTCTGCTGGGTGAGTTTAGTCAATATCTGATTTTTCATTAGTTTCCATCTGGAAAGAAAGCTATATATTTTGGTTTAATTTGGTCTGAACTAGAATATGAGATTGGCTTTTGATCTTAGGGAATTTTATAGTTCCTTTTTGTTCATACTGTAGATTTATTGTATGTGTTCTCGTCATTTAGCTGCAATAACTGTGAAGAGTTTAATTCTTGTAGGAATTTCTGGGGAAAATGCAGTTTCCCAGGACTTTCTTTGTATTCTGTTCTGCATTGCTCCTTTGTTCCTCCTTGACATATGGGCAAAAAGCTAGTCCTCCGGCTCCGGCTGCAATGACCCCGACTCCGACACCGGCACCGGCACCAGCACCGGAATATGTAAACCTCACTTACTTACTCTCTGTGGCAGGTCCATTTCACACATTCCTTAATTACTTAGAATCAACTAAAGTCATTGACACCTTCCAAAACCAAGCCAACAACACTGAACAAGGCATTACGATTTTCGTACCCATGGACAATTCATTCAGTGGTCTTAAGAAGCCATCGTTGTCCAATCTCAGTGATGATCAGCTCAAATCTCTCATCCTTTTCCATGCCTTGCCCAAATACTACGCCCTTGCGGACTTCGGTGAACTCAGTACAAAGGGTCCTGTCAGTACACTTGCTGGTGGTCAATACACTTTGGATTTCACCGATAATTCCGGCACCGTCCACCTCGATTCGGGATGGAGTAAAACGAAAGTCACCAGCGCTGTACATTCTACCGATCCTGTTGCTATATATCAGGTCGATAAGGTCCTTCTTCCAGAGGCTATCTTCGGTACCGATGTACCTCCAATGCCTGCCCCAGCTCCAGCTCCAGCTCCTGATGTTAGCCCTGCTGCGGATTCTCCATCAGCGGATTCGAAAGGAGGCGGTTCATCGTCCAAGTCTTTGCCTTCGAGTTCAACTTCTGATGGGATTGTGGGGTTGAGGTTGAGCGTTTGGAGTCTGATGGTTTTGACAGGCTTTGGTGTGTTGGTTCTGCTTTCCTAAGATGCAAGACTTCATTGCGTGTAATTAATGTTCACGTGGGGTGATCACTGAGTTTCTCAATTTACATTGATTTTTAAATTCATTGTTTTTGTACGTTACTAAGATTATGTGTTAAGAAGAAGGGGAATTGTTATGTTATAACTTCTATTTGAATTTAAATGGCGTTATGCACGAATCTGTTAGTTGCTTAAATATTATCTCGGAACCTTACCTTCCTATCGTTGAGATTAACCGACAATTGTCTTATTCATTAAAAATCTAACCTTTGTGATAACTATCGATTTAAAACCTTGAAATATTTTTGAGAAAGAAAACTTTAATAGTTTTTTCTTGATGACAACTAAATGTCACAGTCACAATAAAAATAAATCAAACTTCTAGTGATTGCAATACAAGTTTTTAAAATTAGATGACTGAAATAAAAATATTCTAAAACTTAAATTACCATCAATATAATTTATCTTTCAATTTATTAAATTTCCATCCTTGGCACTTAAAATCTAACGAGTTCAGTTTAATTCATATTTATTAAAGAACATATATTTTTAAAAAGGATTGTTTGTATATTATCCGAACAAAGCAACTTCATTAATCAAGAGATTATTATCTTTTGAAGTTTCCTGGTGAATTGGAGATTTTGGGACTGTTTGTTTATTTCAGAATGATTAAGCGCTGAATGATTCAAATGCTGAATGATTCAGAGGCTCTGTATGAATTAGCTGTGTATGTGACATGCTGGTTGGTAATGACTCTGAATCATTCAGAATGTACTTCTGTGTTGATTCATTCAGCACTATTTTGCTAAATCAGTCAACAAAGAGTCATTTAGAGGTGCGAAACAAACGCGTTGAATGCTAAACGATTCAACATTCAGCGCTGAATGATTTCATTAAGAGACAAATAAACAACCCTTTGTCTGAGTAAAGAAACACGTGCGCAAAAGTAGTAAAGGATTATAAAGCTGATGATAACCAGACCTAGTTGACTCAAGCCCAATCTGCAATTCAGTGAATGTTGAATCATTTAGAACAAGGACAAGCAGCTGACATCATTTTTTCTTTAGAATTGTACCCTTGTAAACAAATAAAACAGTGTACCTGAGTCATTCAATCTTCATGAAAAGTTTATGAATGAATTTCCTTATTTTAAATTCCCTTTATCCTTCGTTTTCTCTCTTCTAAAATCCCAAATCAATTTTAGTTCCTGACAAATTGTCATCAGAGCCTAAAAATCCTGGCAAAATTTTTGTAATCTGGTATATCGAAGAAAAAAAAGCTGACAGATTCAATGGACCTTTCTACTATCCAAAAGCAACTCAAAGACTTGACCAAACTTGTGAAGCAAGTAACTGAAGAAACCAATCCTCCAAAATGGTGGGAAGAACAATATAATCATATAACCAGTTTAGAGAAACGCATGACGACCAACCAAGGGTATGTGGAAGAAATACTAAGGATCTTAACCGTAACGAAGAATGACCAGGAACCATCAAACTCAAAAAACAGACAGGTAAATACCTCGATTCCTCCCCATAATGACGAAAAAAGACCAGTGCTTGTGACAATAATTGATGATAAGTCACATTATTCCTACAAGCCTCATGAACCTGGTATTCTTAAATCGAAACCAGATGATCAACACAATAATCCATGAGTTTTGAAAGTCGGTAGGACGAAAGGTGATTCTAGTAACACTAAAATGAATCTGAAAGACTGTGAAGAGGGTAGGAAAAGCACTTGAGGGTCCTTTAATGGCTGTGGGTTGACGATGTATAGACCTAAGATAGAACTACCTATGTTTGATGGCATAAATCCGAGGGGATGGCTTCAGAAGTGCCACAAATATTATCATCTTATGGGAGTTCCTGACGAGCAACGAATGAAAGTCGTTGCGATGTATTTAGTGGGGAGAGCATAAACATGGTTTGACGGTTATATTCTACAAAAATTTCCTGTTCAGTGGTATGAGTTCGAGGCAGACCTTTGCCATAGATTTAATGATAAGGTTTTTATGGATATTGTCGAAGAATTCAGTAAATTGTTGTAGAAAGTAACCATAGAGGAATACCAAGACAAGTTTGATGAATTAAAACCTTATGTGCTGCTACAGAACCCTACACTGGGAAAAGAGTTCTTTGTTTCAGTCTTCATCACTGGATTGAAAGAAGAGCTGAAACATAAGGTAAAGGCTCTAAATGCAAAAACTCTATCTCAAGCATATAGACAGGGCAAACTATATGAATTATCTGCAGAGTTCAAAAATCAAAGACAGAGGTTAAGTTTTCGATACCCACCCGCCAAAAACCCAATAGCTATTCGAGACCTGCTCCAAACTTATTCCAGTAGAAATCCAACCCTATTACAACACCCAAATCCAATCTTATGGAATATAGGAGGCAAAATAGCTTATGTTTTAAGTGTGGCGAGAAGTTTACCCCATGCCACCAGTGCAAGTTGAGACAATTAAATATGTTGGAGGAAGAAGACACAGAGGAGCAGCAGGATTAGCAGGTCAAAACAAGAAGAAAATGAGGAAACACTGAAAATTTCAATGAATGCAATCGCATGTTGCAGTGATCATAATACCTTGTATGTACATGGTACTATAAAAGTCAAACAATTGAGCATTCTCATTGATAGTGGGAGTACTCGTAATTTCTTAACTCCTAAGTGGACAAGTGCAGGAGTGGAGGTGGTTACAACCTATCCACTAGAGATCACAGTAGCAAATGGTGAAAAATTATTCAGCTTAACAAAATGTAAATGAGTTACTTAGTTAATGCAAGGGCAATCCTTTACTCATGATTTCCACATCCTACATTTGGGTGGTAGCAACATGGTATTGGATGTCTATTGGATGAAACTTTTCAGCTCCATTTTGATGGACTTCAACCATATGACCTTAAGTTTTACAAATGATAACAAGCAGATTGTAATCCAAGGCCAACACAATTATGCTCAACTCAAACAAATATCTGGTCCTGTTTTCTACAAGATGATAATTTCAGATCCAGATTTAATGGGTTATTTTTTTATGTTGAGTATAAAGGCTGTTGTAACAGAGATTTCACTACCTATTCAAACCCTCATAGAAGAATTTAAAGGCATTTATTTAGGAACCTAGTGACTTGCCATCTGCTAGATCTCATGACCATGCTATTACACTTAAACCAAATTCAACCCCTATGAATTTAAGTCCCTACAAATTTGCTCATTATTAAAGACAGAAGTGGAAAAGCATATCAGTTCTATGTTGTCTGCATCAATAATCCAACCAAGTAAAAGTCTCTTTGCCTCCCCTTGCATGCTTATTAAGAAGAAGGATGTGACTTGACGTTTTTGCGTAGACTATAGACAACTCAACCAATTAGCTATCAAAAACAAATTCTCAATTCCGGTGGTTGAAGATCTATTGGATGAACTTACTGGGGCAGTCTATTACTCAAAGTTGGATCTTCGTTCAGTTTATTGGTAAATTCGAATTAAAGATGAGGATATTTACAAGAAGAAATTCAGGACACACCAAGGACATTCGAGTTTAAGGTATTGCCCTTTGGCCTTACCAATACCCCTGCTACTTTTCAAGTCCTTATGAATGACTTATTTGATCCTTACCTCCGAAAGTTTGTTTTAGTCTTTTTTGATGATATTTTAGTGTATAATAACACTATGGAAGAACATTTACAACATTTGCGAAAAGTCCTACAAACTTTAAAGGACAATCAGTTGTTTGCTGAAAAGACTAAATGTTTTTTTGGCCAAAAGCAAAGCGGAGTACTTGGGGCATGTGATTTCTGAACAGGGAGTTTTTACGAATCCAACTAAAGTGCAGGTAGTGAAGGATTGACCTCTACCAAAAACTCTTAAATATCTTCAATGATTTATTAAAGATTATAATGCTATTAAGGTATTCATCTGATACTTGGATTGATTCTCAAATTATTAAGGTATTCATCTGAAACTTCCTTTAAACTGTTTATTTTTTTGTATTTGCAATTCTCGAAACACAGAAGCCATACTAATTGTATCCGTTTCCTTCAACCATCGATGTTTCAAGGGATACATTTTTTGTTATATTGCTAGTAATGTTTGCATGGTTGTGAGATCAGATTCAACTACTAGCTGACCTCAATCTGAAGAAAACTCCTCAGCTTGTGGAACTGGTGAATGACAGCAAGGTTGGGGAATGTTAATTGGTTATGCCTTCTTTGTGTTGATATCGATTCTGGATGATATCCATTTTGCAGGTTGGAAACAGATTATGTTAACCTCGTGTATAAATTTTGTAGGAGGTGGAGGAGCTGATGAGTTTAGGACCTGAAAAGGTTTTACTGAAATGGATGAATTTTCATTTGAAGAAAGCTGGATATCAGAAGCAGGTTACAAACTTCACTACAGATTTGAAGGTGGGAAAACTCATTGGTTTCGATTAATTCTACTTGTGGAATGTCAATTTTATAAGTTTATTATCATGGTTTTCACTGTTGTATTAATCTTTAGATTTGTGCCTTAAGTTCCAAGAACGGGTGAAACAAATGCAAGATGTTTAAACGTCTCATTGTCTTAAACTTTAGACCTTCTCCTGTGGAAAAGGATTCGACTCCGGTTACATATAGTCAAATGATCAATAGTTCCTATTGTGTGAAGTGTATATATTGCCTCCTGCCTACCATTTTCAGTTTTCTAGTGTGAATGATGTATCATAAACCTATTTATTTGGAGGATGGAGAGGCATATGCACATCTTCTTAATGCACTTGCTCCCAAACATAGGACACGTGAAACTATAGAGACAGAGGGTCCAACAGAAAGAGCAAGCAAAGTTCTTGATCTAGCAGAAAAATTGGGGTGCCAAAGATACATCACTCCTAAGGTCATTGTTGAGGGCTCAGCAAATCTCAATCTTGCATTTGTTGCACAAATATTCCAGCACTGGTGAGAAACAATGTTTTTTTTTTGCCTGAAGTCTGAACCGAGTTCCATAGTCTGGTTTATTTCTTATATGATGTCGGAAAATCTTGGTTTAAAACAAAAATCAGGTAGCCCTCTCACAGCCCATGAATCTCAGCCATCCTATCTCAATATTCAATCCAAAGACCTCTTAGTTCCAATCTCAAGCTCTAAGCACTGGCGTGTTCCCTTGGGGACATATGATGAGTATGAAGAATTTAAC